CACATTAAGGCCGGTTTCTTATTCCATATAAGAAATATTATTTCAATGCTCAATGAATTGAACTGTTCATTTTAAAAAAGTGAGCAAAATTGAGTTTAACAGGGGTGATTGTGAGCCCAAGTCAAAATTGCGGAAAATTTCTTGAGTTCCAAAAAAAAAAAAAAAAAAANTGAATAGGAAAAAAAAAAAAAAAAAAAAAAGTTTCAATTTAAAAATTGGAAAAAAATTTAAACAAGTTTTTTTCCCCTTTTCTCAGTATTTCTTAGTTTGCTTAAAATATATTTAAAATTTTACGCATACCTATACCATTTACGCATACCTATGATGACCTGGAGAAGTAATTAAAATTTACAAATATGTCTTTCTTTCTTGAGTATATGATTATAACAACTGTTTACTGATAAGAAATGAATATTAATCACGAATATAAGCTTATAAAGTATCTCTCTGGCTCTCCCTTACAAACAATTAAAATAAACTGTGTTTTTAAGTTCCACCTTTGAAAATTTGATTTCCGGAAACTTCTGTGATCAATGATTTTTTAAAACATTTGGACCTTCGATCTCCGGAAACTTCCGGATCACAGTTAGCAAAAATTCCGGAAATCCGGATTTTTTACTGAGCACAATCAGCCCTGGTTTAATTTAAAAAAATTCCTTGCATACAATAGTTTTAAAAAATTTTGCACTTTCAAAACAAAATGCTTTTATTGATAATGAGTCATTTGAATTAATAAAATCAATAGTTCCTTCATTCAAATATAGTGACTGAAGTTTAGTTTCATTTAAAAAGTCACTTCGTAAATAATAGCTAAATATGTTTTTGCTTTTCCAAAACAAAATGCTTCAATGAGATGAATTTAACAATATAAATAACCTGTTTATTTTAATATAGTTACTGAAATTTAGTTTCCTTCATAAAATCATTTTGTAAATAATAGTTTTTTTTCTTTCCTTTTTTTTTTGCTTTTTCAAAACAAAGAACATCTATTGACATTGAGTTAGTTGACTTAACAAAAGCTTCAAATAAATTATTAAAATAACTATTTCTTTTGAAGTTTGAGTACATTAAATGTTAATTTCCTTTTAATGAACAATTATTTTTGTATAGTCACTAAATAACCACCTCACGTATAACATTCGTTTTCCTTTGGATAACTGGACTCACTACATTAAAAGTCGACTGTACGGTCTAAAAGTTGATAGTGATTAGAAGTAAGGTATGCAGTTTCAATGCACAGACAATTACGAATGATTAAAATTAAATTGCATCAAAAATTTTAAGAATATATTTGTTAATTATTCAGAAATATTTAGATTTTTTTTAAAAAGTTAAATTTTAGTAAAATGTTGGATGCCAGATAGATTTTTCTTTGGGTGCTGTGGCAACCTAAATTTGTAGACCCCTAATATGTAAACCGTGAATAAGTCAACTTTATGTGACAAGAGGAAAAGAATTTAAAAGAATGTTCTGAGCTATTTTTCTTAAAAAAGTAAAAATGACTGTAAGAATACTAACATTAAAAATATTTTCAACAGTCTTGGAAAATCTACCGCTTAATTCTCTCCTTCATAACGGATATAATATGCCGATAACAAGCAAAAACGAAAACAGAAATCTATATTTGTAATAAATAATTTATGAATAAATTTAATTGAAAATAAGTCGATAAAAACTATATTTTGATCTATTCAAGTATTATTGATACCAAAAATAAACAAACACATTGCGGCATTTTCACATAAATTTATATAAGCTACATCGTTTTTGCCGACTTGTATTAGGATTTTGCATGAAAATTTAATAACATAAATTTTCATGTGGTAAGATAACATTTAAACTATTTGTATAACGTAAACAAACTTTTAAAATATTGCTTTTTCTTCTTTTTTTTTTAAAAAAAACTATGTAAATTTTTTTGTTCATTACTAAATAAATAATGAATTTATATTCCTTTAACTATCTTGACGAAAATGAGGTAAATTTAATTCTGTGTTGCAAAAGAAAGTATCTTCTTCAAAACACTTTTAAGCCTCTAACACCTTTTAAAATATGTTTGTCAACAACAAAGTAATCAACAAACTGAATTATAAAACTATATAGAATAGTATATTTATCAAACATCAAGAATGTAACACTATAACTACAATTAAGCTAAATTACAAACTAATTCCTCAGTATTGATTGACTTCTATAATCTTCCTTTTTTTTTCTTTTTAAACCTAAAGTTTTATTTACACCATCATGCTGAAGCAACAATTTCAGATAGTTAAGGAAAGCAGTTGAATTTATTAAACATGCAGTTGCCGATCAACTACATAAACTAAACACTGAGTTACATGAGTCTGGGGATCCCGCCATAAATGACATTTGTGACATAAATGACACATGTCTCTAATATGGACTGAGCATTCTTATGTTATAAGACGGAATATAGTAGCACAATCTTCTTTTATTTCTTTTTTTTTTGTTGCTCCTCACATCTACGTACTAACGCATTAAAGACAGTTTGAGCATAACTATGCACTTGACTTGAAGAAGTAGAAGCACATGCACTTTCATGGCAAATAGACATGTTATTTGGACTTATATCACAGGATGGGAGAGGACATGAAAAATGACAAATGTGAGTACCATCAAATGCAAAGAATGTACATGACATACAAAGTCTTCGTGAAATATTTTTGTCTTCATGATTTTTGAATTGCTGTATTTTTCTGGTGTATAAGTCGACTTTCTGCATATCTGATATTTGCCTTATAGTTTTAACATATAATTTGACTTATACACTATTAACATATTTGGGCACCAGAGATTTTTTTCAAAATTTAATGCTTAGAATAAAAAAGAAAATAAACTAATTTATAAAACAAATAAAAACATAAGAAAAGTAACAAAATTCCACAGTCTCGTTAGTACTTAATTTATATTCTTCAAACAGATGGAACATTAATGATTCATCAGAATAAGAACATCATTAATTAAGAGTGAAAATGCAAATATAGACCCACATTCAGAGCATTTCATAATATTTTATACATAAATTATGCCTTAAAATAAAAGGTGAGGCTGAAAAACATCGTAGTTGATTAAAATTTAATTATTATTAAAAACTAATTTTGTATTTAATTTACATCCTTGGAAAACAGAATATTATATTTGGTGAATTTATTTTTTAACAAGTGTGATTTAAGGAGTCTATTTGTAAAATGAAATGCACTGTTTTGAACTAAGATAAATGGTCGACTTACACACCAGAAAATAAAATACTTATTTTAAAACTGAAAAAAGAAAATTAAATAGAACTTACACAACTTCAGACTGCTTAGGGATTGAAAAGAGAACTGTTAAACTATTTGAAATATAGCAATACAAAAATAAATAAATACTGTATTTAGATATGTAACAGAACAATAATACATGAAATAAAAAAGATTGGAATGCTTCAATCAGACAAAAAGAAAAATCTTCATAAATAGTTATTGAAGATACTGAAAAAAATTAAAAAGTGTCTGAAATGAGTGAGTTGAAAAAAAAATTAGATATATATGTGACATAAAATTATTTTCAATTAAAAAAATAATGTATTTAAAAATCTCCAACACTCCTGCACATTAAATTATATCTTTCAATCTTCTTGTTTTGCAGAATTTTTTAACAATTTTATAAAAAGTGTGTAACGCAGAAATATTCTTAGATATTTATCCATTCTCAAGAGCATCAAAGATTTAAAATGGTTAAATTATAGACTCAGAGATTTAATACAGTACCCTTCCAAATTATTAGGGACACTTAAAATTTCTAAACAATTGTCATTTCTCAAAGTATCATAACTTTTTCAAAAATGAATACATTTTCATAAAAATGTCAGGATATCATGTTCAGGTCTTCTACTTTCACCTAAAAATTACTAATTTAATTTATCTTAATTTTTTACAAACATTTGCACATTTGAACAAAGCAATTTTTTTTCAAAAAAAAATGTCAAGTCTGACAATTTGCTACTTTGTAAAAAAATTTTTTGCATAAAAATTATTATTTGCACATTAAAGTACAAGTCATTAACTTTAAAACGCGCTAAAAAAATGACTTTATGATTTTTTTTGACCGAGATATGAGATTTTGAAATTTTTTTGTCATTTACAGTAAAAACGAAATTATTGTGAATTCATTTAGTATTTATTCTTCAGCTTAAAGAGATCAAAATATTGACTAGTTTCTATTGAAAATTTGTTAGCTATCAATTATTTATTTGTTATGTAAGGTTCGCATAAGTTCATATTTATCACAGTTGAGAAAAGTTTGAATTTTGTAGAAAATAGGTGGCAAAATAAAGTTAAATTTCTTAAAAATTTCTTGAGTCGTTTTTTAAAATTGCTATTGCAAATTTATAAATAATGTTCTTGTTTGTAATAATGTTTTAAATAAAAAACTTAATTGATTCGAATAAGAAAGTTGCAAAAAAATAATACTAAATAATTTTCGAATTCGCAATAATTTCGCTTTCACTGTAAATGACAAAAAATTTCCAAAATCTCATATCTCGGTCAAAAAAGCCAGTTTTAAAGTTAATGACTTGTACTTTAATGTGTAAATAATAATTTTTATGCAAAAAATTTTGTTGCAAAGTAGCAACTTGTCAGATTTGACATTTTTTAAAAAAAAAATTGCTTTGTTCAAATGTGCAATTTTTTGCAAAAAATTAAGATAAATTAAATTNAAGGACATAAGATGTTTTTAGGTGAAAGTAGAAGACCTAATTATGATATCCTGAAATTTTTATGAAAATTGATTCATTTCTTAAAAAGTTATGACACTTTGAAAAATGGAATATTTGGAAGGGTACTGTACCTAAAAATATATAAATGAGCATAATTTTTTTCTTCTTTTAAAAGTTGAAATACTTCACATTTGTTAAACAAGCTGATTAATATCAAATTATAATCTGTAAAAATTTTCAAGCAGTTATGAAAATTTAAAAAAAAAAAAAAAAAAAAAATGAAAAGTAATTGCAATAACTGATGACATTTTTTTAACAAGCACTCAAACAAAACATATATATTAGATTCTAAACGCTACATAAAGTAATTTCATATAACATTATTTATAACAGTCTTTTTAAAATTAATATTATAATGTTCGATAAATGTATTGTCATTTAGAAATTAATTATATTTTATTTTTCCTCAACAAATATTAAAAAAAATCAATTTAACAGGAAAAGTTAAAAAATAAAAATAAAATAGATATATTCAAAACTTTATATGTCTAGAAGTATACTCTAAGTAGGATCAAAGGATTCATTTGCTTCAAGAAGTAGAAACTTACAATATGCTTTAGAAATTATTTGCTTTATATTGACAAAATTGGCTATTAATTATTTACCTCTAAGAATGATGAGAAATATTTTCGGATGAATAGGTAATAGCCATTCAATTAATAAACTTATGAAAACACAAAAATGTGAGATTTAAATTAAAAGTCATATAAAACAGCAAATATTAAAAAAAAAAAAACTCTGAGAACTAAAATTATTTCAAAAGTGACTAGAACAACTCCTTACCTTGCAAACCATAAAATAATTTACACCTTAAATATTGCGGTTATTATTGATACATCACTTTAAACTTCTAAAAAAAAAAAAAAAAAATTAAAAATACAGTTGAATGATAAAACATCATTATGTTATTCTTGAACTTTAAATATGTTTTCTAGAATCCCATGTGTTGATAATTTATAAAAAAAAATTATTAGTAATCAGAAATAGCCTGATAAAGATTGTTAATACACAGCAGAAAGGAGATGAATCTTCAAGTTGATGCATTGATGATGTCCAAACATAACTACTTCAGACGCTGAGTCACATTGGCAAGAGCAACAGCAAATGCTTGGAGGGCACAAAATGGATATTGAAAGTCAAGAGTGTATGCATTACCATCAATTCTTCCAAATTGCATTACCTGAAATGTCAAAATGAATGTACGGACTTATAAAGATATGAAAAATAAAAAAAACATAAAAATTTTCATTTTTAAGAATTTTATGAGCTGTTGTAGAAAAATGATTCTGTTCTAACAAAGCATAGAATTCTGATATAAAATGTGACTTTTTTTATTGATTTCGAAAAGTTGAGATTTTCCCATTAAAATAGTTCTTAAGTATTTAGAATTCTGACATCTAACAAAGTCTTTTTTTCATTGATTTTGAGAAGTTGAACAAATGTGTATTTTCCCAATATTAAAATAGTTCTAAAAAATTTAAATGTTGAATTCACATTTTTCTATTAGAATAGATCTTAATAAATTAAAATTTTGATATAAAAAAAGTATTTTGTCATTGATTTTGGGATGTTGAATTCTTAGAATTTTTATTTTATTGGAATATTTTGTCAGTAATATAAAATTCTGACATTTTAAGCTTTTAGTCATTAATTTTTAAATCAATTCCTTTTTCTAAAATTTTATTATAGTTTTAAAGTATGTATTACTTAGCATTCTTCGAACAACCAAAAAAAGAAAGTATAATTGCATAAATAAACCAAATGTAAAATAAATCACAGCAAATGTATAATCCTGAGCACAGAGGAAAGGAGGGCATCTTCTGTTATTGAGAGTCCTCCTACAAAACCTATGCAGAACAGAAATTCTGTTGTATATATTTAAAACTTTTCCCTTATTATATTGAAGATCTGTTTTCACCTTCTTAATTTCTTTAAACAATTTTTTCTTATTAAAATTTAAATTTACCTTAAAGACTATGAAAAAAAATAACAATGCTCTCAAAATATATTTTTGAAATTCTTGTAAAAGTAACCAAAAAAAAGTTTGCATTCCACATAACCCATAGCATTTTTCAAACGAAAATAGCCATTATAAAGTAAGGCTGTTATATTGTAAGTGCAGAAATAGCATTAATATTTACTCCCAGCAGAAAAATACCCAACTAAGTTTACAAAATGATGCTTTATTTTATTGCAAATTCACAAAGTAACAGATTAATTGATAATAGCACAACTTTTTCACACATTATATCTGTAACAGAACCATTTAAAAGAACACATTACAGTCATTAAATAATTATTTTTGAAACATTTTAGCTAGAAATATCTACTATTTAAGCCATATTTTTGCTTTTAAATAATATTAAGTACTGTTAATAGATTTTATAAGATAATTTGGCAGGTAAATAAATAAATAAAAAATAATCTGAATTAAATAAAAAAAATCCTATTTAACACAAATAAATCTCTTTTTTTTTTTACAATGTTTTTTTTTTGAAAGAGAATTTTTTTTTAAATAATTATTTTCAAAATAATTTTCAAGAGAATAATAAAAAAAATAAAGCAAAATTTTTGTCGCTATATTGGAAAGACTGGTTCAGAGCAGATGTTGAAATAACATTGCGTCCATGGGGCTTAATATATTGGTGGTTATAAGGAAATGGCCACTATAAAGTGAATTACAGCACGCATCAGAGAGCAAGGTAATATCATAAAATAATTTTACTTACTTGTCTACCATGAAATTCAATCTGAAAATTTTTTGCAGATTCTTGCGTCACTCGTCCACCGAAGTCTAGCTGATACACTTGACTAATGTCATTCCACATGGGGGCTTTATTATGAAGGACGAACTCTCGATAAGGAGGCAGATTGCTATTGGCCGGAACAGTATCAGTGACTATTCTTCCACACCTTTTTTTCAGCTGTTTTTTTTTAAATAAAAATATGCCCAAAATTAAGGTTAAACTTATAAAGTTAAAAAATTTATACTTTTCTTCAATAGATATCAGTAGTAATAAAAGTAGCACCAACAATAAATACAAAGCTTAGACTCTTTTTAAATTTTGATCAATAGAATTACTCTTTGAAAAAAATCACATGAATACGAATTGTGATGCGTAACTCTTAAATTGCAGTAATATAAATTGCTATGTCTGATTTTGAAAAAGCGAGAATAAGAAACATAATAAAGAATTTTTAAATCACCATGCGCGATTCATGAATCATTTGAATTACGACATCTGATATTTAAATTGAATCATCTTGAATGGGATTCGAAATTTTAAATCACATGAATACAAATCCTGATGAATAATTTTCAAATCAGAGGAATATGTATCACCAAGTGTGATTTCAAAATTGCATTTACTTGAATCACTATGTGTAACTCTTAAATCACATTATTATAAATAGAAATACATGTTTTTTAAAGTCGCGATAATCATGAGATTTTTAATTCACATAAATATGAAGCATAATGAGAAATTTCAAATCAAGTGAAGACGAATAATTTAGATTCACTTTTAAATTACACAATTACAAATTGTGATGTTCGATTGTTAAATAGCTTGAATACAGCACAATATTGAAATCATGTTGTCTGATTTTAATGTTATTCAAATCCCTACATTTGGTTTCTAAATCAAGTGATTTGGCAGGGCAATGCAAATTTTTAAATTGCATGAATGCAAATCACAATATGCAATTTCAAAACACGTGAATATGAATCCTAAATAAGGAACTTGATTTTAATTTTTCATAAAAATAAAATATAAATTAGTTAGGCAGAAATTACCAGATTTTTGATATGGAAAAAGAAAAAAAACTTTAATCACCTTTAATAAATTTTTAATCATTTTTGAGTTAACTTAATTTGAATTTTTTTTGTCTACAACAGAAAAATAAAATTAATTAACTATGATAAATAACTAATTTTTTTAGATAAAACAACACAGATTAGTAAACAATTGTCTAGAAGCCAACTAGATTCTGGAAAGTCTAGATTTCCTATTGATAACTGAATTAGTATAGTTTTTAAAATGAAGCCAACTTAATAAAAATTAGTGAAAAACTTTGGTGTGATATAATAAATACTGTTTTTTATCAGATAAAAATGAATTCATTTTGATATTTATACCATATCAAATAATAATATCAAATAATACCAATTAACTAAATAACACTTGCAAATTTAATTTTCAATTTTTTTTCCAAAAATTTAATTCAAATGTATCTTACTATTCTAAATACGAAAGATTTTGGAAAAATAACAGACATTTAAAATTTTCAACAGGCATAGTATTGCCTCTTTTAAAAATAAGAGATTGCATTACATGATTAAATCATTTCAAAATTTCGTTACAAAAAAAAAAATCTCTAATAGAAAAAATTTCTCCCCAATTAGTATTTATAAATATAAGTATTAATAAGTACTAGTGGGCTGCACCCCCCTGCTTGTTAACGCTTGCCAACCCCTGAAAATTGCTACGCTATCTTATATGGCTTGCTTCGCTCGCGACTAACTTAGGTGAATTGCAAATACACAAAATTCTAAGAATTCAAAACAATCATTCAAATTCATATAACAACAAAAAAAATTACATCTTTTTAGTCATTACTAAGTCATTAAAATAAATTTGAATTCAAATAAATGACATGCAATTCGTTAAACCTATTAGAAATGTGCTATAGTATAAAATCTTAAAGCGTAACAGCACGACTGAGACTCATTTTTCAATGAATAACTAATAACAATAATAAAACAAATAAATTCGTGATATAAAAAAAAAATTGTCAAATAAATCTGTAAATTCATAAATTCGTGAAAAAAAGCGCTTTCGACAAAATACTAAAATAGAGATCTATCAACAAAGAGTACTCACTTCTGCCTAGCTTAAGGTTATTTCAGTTTCCGTTTTTAAAAGAGCTATACGTTGAGCCACCTCAGTTAGATTTGGTATGTGACATTTTTAGCGGCAATCATTGGTCGATTTACTAGCGTTGCCATTCGGGGAGTTGTAATGAGGCTTTCTTTTGTTGCCGTGTAAGAGAAATATATATATAGATAATTATACTCCCTATAAGTTTTGCAAATTGAAGAAAATTAGTTTAAAAAATTTGGGTATTAATCCATTTTGGGAACTGTAAAGAATCTATTAACACAGTACCTTTATTAGTATATTAGGTACCTACTACCACAATACCAGTACTTATTGCCACAATTAATTAAGCATGGCTGTCATTAATAATAGTTTAACAGTTTTTTTACAGCTTCCCAAAACGAAGTATTCCTGGAAACTAATTGAAGGAATTGAATTTAACAAGCCATTTTTTATTCTTTTAAAATTTTATTAATAGAATAAATTTATATTGCTAAAAAACAGGAATTAAATTTTATAAACACCATTAACTTCTTATTAATTGCATTAGTTTTTTTTTCATAAAACAAGAAAATAATTTACCTTTCTACGAATATATGCTTTTTGGAAACTTTCTAAATCTTTAAAATTTTCACCAGGCATATCATCTCCACTAAAAGCACTATCTTCATCAGAGCTATCAACAAGCTTTTGGCGCCTCATTTTCCTTAACAATAAGGGACTGTATAACAAGCCGCGGCGTGTATTTTTCTTGCGAGTCACTACTGGTGAAGACGGAATGCTTCGACTAACAGTAGTAGAAGAATCTGACATTTCGCTTGTGTCATCTGCTTGAGGGAAACTGGCACGGTGCTCATGCAAAAAGGACGTAGTTGCGAGATCTGTTACTTCAGTTGGCACATTATGTCGATGTCGGACGGGGCTTGAGTTTTCTGATTTTGCTACAACCAACTCCGGCTTTTTAAACCCTTTCAATTTCCGCACATTCTCAGAGATTTTATTTACATCCTCGCAACTATGAAATTCTTTCCGCATGACACTCTTTTGATTAGAAACAGTTTCCTTAGGTGCATGTGTGCTTGCAAGAGCAGGTTTCTTTTCAACAGGGCATGAACATGCCAGATCATAAAAACCCTCTTCGCCAACTGAAATCCCATTTGTATCACATGACTGGCTATCACAGGGCTTTTCACTATCATTACAATCGTGGCAATGCATTTTACCACAAGGTGGCTTTGGTTTTAAAGTCAGTCGCCGGCGTGACTCTTTGAATGATTTGCCACTCTGCTCACGAACATTAGTGAACTCGGCAGCATGCAGCTGATTGGCGCTATGACTTCTATTCACAAACAATGAGGAACTTTGACTGTTAGGGAATGGCACCTTCTCACAACATGGGGTTTCTGGGTCATCAATAAATTTCATATCAATGTTCTTTCTCGAAATACAATTTACAAATGAGTCCTGATTGTGTGAAGACTCTCCTTGTAGAGTATGATTAGATGCTTCCAACATAAAAGGAGATTCACTATTTTGTAAACTCTGGATTGGCAATGGCATGTTGGATGTAGCTTTTGGAGTATTACAAGAACTGTTACTGATTTCTACAATTCTTCGAGTAGATAAAGGCGACTGTAAGCTACTTCTATAAGAATTATCTAAAATCAAACCTTGAGAAACGCATGGTACTACAGTATAACATGGAATACTTTTACCATCTACTGAATTGCTAGACGTTGATTGAGAAGATACATTAGAATTTTCATTTTCAGAAAGGCTGTTTTGTGCAGATTGTTCTTTTGATGAGTCACTGCTTGCACCATTTAGATCGTCAGAAAGGTCCAAAGTTAAAGAACTGGCAACAAATGATGACTCAATGGATTTGCAGTTTGAAGAAGTTTGATTAGAAGACTTTGATTCTTCAGGTTTCTTCCACAAGCTTTTATTGAGAAACCTGAACCCTGAGCCGTTTGAGCTGGATGGAATAGGATACTGCAAAACATTTGGCTCTAAATCTGGCACGCATGATACACTAGTCTGTGTAGCAACAGATACTACACTACTGTTTTCTGCCCTCTGAAGACTAATGACATGAACACCTTTCTCTCCTGTGATTTCAAAAGTTAAAAATTCTTCAGATGGAATAAAGTTCACATAATCTCCGTTGCTACAACCTGCAAACACACCATTTTGTTCTCGTTCTTGATTCAAATGACATCGATAAGTAGTATTTCTCTGCTGCTTCTTTGGTGTCATTGGAGCTATAGGAATACTATCTTCATAATTGGCATCTAGAGGAAGAATGCAAATGCTATAAAATGAATATGCAAGGAGTAATGAATTTATAAATACAAAATGATTTAGTTTTAAGCTTAACGTTTTTAGCCAATTGCTTAGTTTTAAGTTATTTTTAACACTAAGTAAGCAACTTTTTAATTAAAAAAAAATTTATTAGAATATGGCTATAATAAAGCTTTAAAGATGAGATCAGTTCAAAAAGTAGTAAGTACCTGACCATAATCTGTCTAAGCAATATTAAGAAAATTTTGCAGTGTTGGGCTAAGCAACTGCTACACTGGTGGACAAAATTAAGAGATGGAAAGCATTTTCGCACATGCAAGATACCCGCACATCGCTCCATGTGTTTGACAATGGTTCCGTGAATGCCCAGAGGTACAGGCAGGAGGTCCTAGAGCCCTATGAGCATCTTTTCAGGGGCGCTGTTGGCCCTGAGTTCATTTTTATGGACAACAATGCGCGGCCACATAGGGCTCTCATGGTTGACGAGTATCTGGAAAGCGACGATATTCAATGAATGGATTGGCCAGCCAAATCCCCTGACCTGAATCTTATTGCTCTTGGGAGAGCTATTGCGATGCGCCAACCTCCCCCCAGAACCATTCCGGAGTTAAAAATTGCTCTGGTTGAAGAATAGGAGAGTCTTCCACAAGTCCTCCTTAACTCTCTTATTAACAGCATGCATACTTGTTGTGCATGCTGTCTGTCTGTCTGAAGGGGTGACCATACACCATACTAGAGGCAACACACACTGTACAAGCCTCACTTTTATTGTCATCTTTTATCCTTAAGTTCAGACCACATTGGATTTATTGGCAATAGGTCTTGCCAGTGAATGGCACTTTCATTTTTGTTTTGCATACTTTATTATCATGGATAAGCTATATCCATACCAAATTTCATTTATTTATATCCAGTATTTTTTGAGATATTTGGGAAAATGTCTTCCATCTCTTAATTTTGTCCACCAGTGTAGTAAGTATACCAAAGTGCACACCCTCAGTTTTTTTTTTCATTACCCATAGCATCACTTAATTGAAATCATGGAGCAAATGAGTAAGCACATATAATTAAGAGTTATTGGAAATAATTTCGGGCAAAGTGACAGACAAGTTTGAACTCCATTACTGCATTATATTTGGCATTCCGAAAAATTAAATAAGAGTTTGGAGACTGAGCAATGCACACCATGCATATCAATGCTCGGTACAACAGTTTTAAGGTTGCCCGTAAAATAGGTTACGATAGACCACTTGCGTGCAATACTAAATAGGGCTTTCATGAGTTGCTTCCAGCGGTGTCAGAACCATTAGGAGAAGTGTGTAGCATCATAAAGGGACTACTTTGAAGAAGATCAGTGTAATATAATTGTATTTCATTCAATGATCATTTTATAAAAAAAAAATTCAATGCTTTTACAACAGACCTCATATAAATAAGAATAAAATATTAATTCATTAATCAGGTATCAAATCAAACTGGAAATTTGTCAGATTGGGGCCTGAAATCTTAACAATAAATGAATATTTCACAATATGCTTAGTAGATAATTAGGCTAATTAATATTGCTTATCTATAGAACATAGCATTTTTAAATTTATGTTTAAAACTATATAATGTTAACACACACCTCCTGGATCATCTTCGTCTTCAGAGAAAACTACAGACGATGTTGCTTTTGCAGAATCAGTTGGTGGGCAGAACTCACGAGGTTGTGGCCCTCTTAATTCTTTCATCAACAAAGTCATCTGCCTGGGTTGAAGATGAAGTAAACTAGTGCGGTAGGTGATAGTACCAAGTATTGCAGGTAGCCATGGAACTAGTCCAAGAATTTTAAATTTTGTACCCCAAATGTTGGATGTAACTGACACAATTTTTTCACTCTGAAAATGAGAAAGACTATAAAAAAAAACTGACAAATAAATTGATAAAAAGAATGCAAAACAAGTATTAAAAAAAACTGCAAATTATTAAATATTTAATAAAGAACATATTGAAATTTTGTGGAAATCGCTGCTCTGGAATATATGCCATAAAATGTGATGAAAGAAAAAATATTTCCTCCTATATGTCAAATGGAATTTTAATATAGTTAAGGATCACAGATTAACACATGCTTTATTTTAGGACCTTCCCTCCTCATTCATATCTTTTACTTGCACTTCTCTTTAACTTGCACTTTTTTTTTAGTGCTTCTTTTCTTGACATCCGTTAAGGAAAAGAGAGCAGCGATTGTACATCAAAAGATCATAGCAAGAGAAATGTGATTCTGAGAAAAGGTGCAGAAGGCACAATTTTCAGCAGCATCTGAGATGGACAAAGTGTCCATTGCAGAATCTCGCTCATAAAAACTTGTCACCTGTTTTTCATCTGCCTTATTGTTTTGTTGGAGAATCATCGGTTTCAAAATATATACATAAATAGTCGCAAAAATAGAGAGGGGAGGGTGAAATTGAATTTTTAGAGGATTCATTGAATTAAAAAAATAAACTACAGGTTACGTCATTCCTTTAGATACAATTCCAAGTCAAAATTTAACAGGCCTCAAAATCAAGTATGGCATATTGGTTAGAAACCACTGAAATTTCACTTGTTCTGCCACAAAATGATTGTCAATGGTCCAATATATAATAACAGAGAAATAAAAATGAGTACAAACCAGTTATATCTTTTAGAAATGGGTCCTTGACTGAATTTTTATTTTTACCCTAAGAAAATCTTTAATTCCATGGCACAGTTTTGCAAAATTATAGTATTAAGTACTATAACTTTCTATACAAATAATCGAAAAATCCTTTATATTCCATTAATTTTGACTTAAAATTTAGTACCTCAGGCAATTCATCAATGTACATAATTTCACGCCATGTAGTTTCAGTCCTTCCATGAATATGTCGCCGTGCCCTTTTACGCCTCTGCATTCGTGGAGATGCACAGCCTTCTTCAACATCACTATCTGAAGAAGAAGATGGAATGTACACAGGAACAATAGCCAAGCAAGTGTTCAACTGTGCAGGAGGATATGAGTATGGCTGACAGTTTTTTATTCTATACAAGGGATGAGGTAGACCTGGCTCTGAAAAAAGAAGTCACAGAACAATAGTATTATTAGATAAAATCAACTTATAATAATAATCGGGGCATAATTTAATGTTTGGAGTAAATCAGCTTTAATAATGCAGTTTCCTTAATCAAATAATGTGAAGTCACTAGTATAATAAATAATAATGATAACAAATATTTCAAATGATAAGAATAAAAAACTATTTTCTCCAGTGGTGGCTTGAACCCCATCCAATTTCAGATCGATGAGTATTTGCTAGTTTGGGAAGTAAAGGCAGTCTATGTGTAATGCTGATCAAAATTCCAGTCAAGCCATTGGTTACAAAATTGTAAAGCCTTAACCTTTATTTTGTACATGCCTTCTAGTTTTGCACAGTGCTAATTAATTAGATTAATTAACCCTGTATAAAAAAACAGGAATTCAGATAGCTAAGATGAATTCAGCTAGCTAAGAATTCAGATAGCTAAGATGATTCAGATATATAAGATGAAGCTGGAACACCACAGTTGAATGTAGTTGGTTTTTAATAAAATTAAATAAATTTTATAATCATAGTTTTACAATCTTTGCACGGAGTTTATATACTACTTTTAAGATCTCATACCTTTAATTGTGTTTATTTTATTTCACAGCCCTCAGTAAATGAACTTAAAGGAAGAGGTTTATCAAGAAGTCCTCCAAGAAATTAAATATACTGATTCTTGAATGCTGAATATTTTGAATTTTGATTCATAACTACTCGAACACTTATTTTATTTCACAGCCCTCAATAAATGAACTTAAAGGAAGAGGTTTCTCAAGAAGTCTTCCAAGAAATTCTTGACTACTGAATACTCTGAATTTTGAAACATAACTACTTGAACAGAGAGTCAAATGTTATTGTTTGATATCCACAATTTGGTTATGTTCCTCAACCATGTAGAAGTTTAGCTGGGTAATATTATTCCATAACCATTAACACAAAACGGTAATAGAATAATCATAAATAAATAGTTAATTCTGAATTCCTTAACAATGAATAAGAAAATTTAAAATTTGTTAGTACAATACATACCTAGAGATTGAGGGTCAAAGATGACAAACTCAGGCCTGAGCTTGCTGACCCTCTTGCCCTTGAGTAAAGGTACTAAGCCTCCTAGGTATTCTAAAAACATTGTGTAAGTAGCACTGCCAGTCATATCATCATCCTCATGACGGATCATGGTACAATGGAAGCGGATATCACAAGAGGGAGGCTTAGAAACAAATTCTCGTAGATGATGGGGATCAGGTAGGTGACACTAAACAATAAATAAATTCAAAAAACTTCTTAACATAAATTTTTACATCGAACTTTCAAGATATAAGACTCAGGTTATAGAAGAGACGATAAGTTTTTTTTGTTATTACATAGTAAGTACATGCATGAATACCTACATCAAAACAATATACAATAACGTCGTTGCCGAGTGGAAGTATAAAAACAGGTCTTAGGCAGGGAAAGAGGGTATAAAATTTATTTATTAATTATTAGAGGGAGAATAGCTATAAAAGTGTACATGAATTTGTTGTGCTCCTCAATAAAAGCTAGGGAAAATCTTGCAAACTAAATATGCAAAATGACTCGTTTTAGGGAAATCTTAGTAATTGTAATTGGCTAATTAAATAGGTTGTGCGATTCCCGCAAAGGGAAAAATGTCTTACTTTTAATGCATATTTGAGCCAAAATAAGATTAAAAGACAGGATGTGAATTTAAAAGTGTGAGAAAGCATTTTCTTTTGAATTATAAATTATGAAAAGGATTTACAGAAAAGGAATAACATAAAAAGATAAATTGAAGCTTTTTATGTTACATATATATTTGCAAGTTTTATGCATGGTAATAAGCTCAGAGATATTAAATTAGTAACTAATTTTGTTTCCTGAATAATAGTACAAGTTAACTTTTCAGATAGATAATTTTTTTCCCATTCTTACTATAAATTTGCTTATCCATCTTCAAACTTTATTTGTTTAGATTTATTTACATATTTTTTTATTTCATTATTTGCCTACACTCGAGTGTAAAAAAATTATATATAAGTAAGTTATTCATATTACTTTAAAATTGAATCAAAGCACACTATCAATTTTTAAAATTAAAAATAACTTTTGTAGGTTCATGTTATTTTCAAGTTTTAGTGGACCACTATCCAAAGAAAAATTATACAAAACTACAGACTATATCTCAAAACTACAACAAACAAAAAAATCCACACAAATAAATTAAAACAGAAAAATGATTGCACATGTACTCTGCGCCTACTAAATTTTCTGCATTCAAATACCAAAGAATAAAACCTTCAAATTAATAAAACAATGCTACCATAAAAATAGCAAGGCAATTTCACTTACTGAGTCCAATGTCATGTACATGACGGCAAAAATCCATTTGTTATTTATATCACTCTAACAGTTGTCATGTAAACAATTAATTTAATCAAAATAATTAATTATACTTATAACTAAAATTATAATAAATTATTACAATTATGCCTAATAGAAAGTAGCTTAGAAATTTTTTTTTGAACTGTTAAGGCTTAGCTAATATAATGAAATAACTGGTCCTTAAAGGTATATTACCTTAATGGTTTGCATGGTAAGATGAGAAATTAAAGCTCGCAGACGCTGTGGGAGGGGAAGCTGTTGGATCAACGCATCACTTTGTAGAGCACCATAAGTAGCAAGTCGAGCCAATAGCTGTAGGGATGCTATTTTTTGAGTGACCCAACCAACATGGATCATACAGCCAGTTGCAATAAAAAGCCGTTTATCATTATGACCCCATGTCAATGCTGTGACTGGGCTCTGAAATTTTTATTTATTTATTAGTAAATACAAAAAAATGGCAACATGTAACTGAAAACCAAGAATTTTATATTTTAAATTTTGGAGAACTAGTGTATCTTTCACTATTACATACATAAAAAGTTACACAGCTGTGTCACTCACTCACTTAAGCCACATTTTCTAAGAATTATATATATTTCTTTATCTTTGTTTTATCCATGTATATTATGAATTAAAATAGCTATCACTCTCTTTATCTCAAAACATAGATATTCTTTTACTTTTCCTAAGGGTCATAAATATTTAATTTATAATTAAAAATTGATTTTTAGAGTTAATGTGAGCAATCATTTTTAAAATATTAGTATTTAAAAAAACTTCCCTTTAAGAAATATGGCACCATGGAGCAGATCAATCAAGATATTTAAATTTTTTCTTTCTGGCACTTTTTGTTACATTTATAAAAATCCTTGCAATCAATTCCCTACTATAGTTCCAGATATATAATAGTGGAATAGGCAATTTTGTGTAGCTTTACCTGTAATTATTTGTTAAACTAAACCATAACACCAAGTTTAGTTTTCAAATTTATTCTCGGAATAAACGAAGCAATGCTCTAACTAAACTTGTAATGAATAAATAATGTTGCGCTTATCCTTACAAAATGACTGTTTTTCCACAATAATATTGAAAATTGTAAAACTGTTTAAAATTAAATATCTATTTTATTATCTGTAATGAAGTAAAAACAAAATAGAAATTAATTCTAGAGGTAAATAGTTTTTACAAAATATAGTTTCCTAGCAAAAGGCACTGACGTTAAAGAATTGATAAAAACTGCATTTTACAAAACTCAGTTTTCAAATTACACATTATTATACACTAGTAAATAAAAGACTAGATGCGACAACTAATCAGCCAAAGTCATAATATTTTAGCAAAGTTTACTTAGCCCATAACAAAGACGAGGAATGTATATTTTCCACCAATTTCAGTAATTTTTAAATGTTGATAGGTTTTTTAAATGCTGATTTTTCTACCCATGAGTTGAGTGAGCATCTGCTAATAACTGTAGAAAATAAAAAATTACCGATGAAGGGCTTTGTTTATGTAAATACCGGTTGAAAGTTGCAGTAGAGGTCAACATGGAGTTAAGAAAAAAGTTGGAGAGCTATTTTCTCTGGTGCATTATACATTCTTTCACTTGATAATTTATAATCAAGTTCATTAGAAGTTATAAAAACCTATATTCATTTATTTATAAGCACAAAAGTTCAAGTTTATGAAAAAATTCTTTGCAGCAGAAAAATTCATGAAAATTTCCCTCACCCTCCCACCCAAAAAAATAAATAAATAAATAAATTTAAAAATGAGATCAATTCTAGGTAAAAAGCTTTAAAAATCCCTTTTTATAAACGAATCTAATACTTTAACAAAGCAAAAGAAAATGGCCCGATAAAGAGTTGATGTTTTAACCATTTCTGCATTTTTGCGAATTAGCAAATTTCTGAGAAATATTCCTTAATATATACAGTTTCGTTGTTCAACATAAAATGGTGGTTACTGTTTTGTTCAGCAAAAGAGTATGTAGATAAAGCAATTTTTATACATAATGTAAAGCAGATTTAGCAATATACGTTTGTGTCTAATTGAAGATATAAGAATATTTCAAACATTCCAAATTAAAATAACAATTACATTTAATTAAAGAACTGATATAAATATAATTTTTTAAAAGATCTTTCATACTTGAGTGCATGGTATTGGGATAAGAAAGCGTAAGACACCATTGTCATTATAAAAATGCAGCATGTTAATGAAATTTCCTCCTGCTGAATCAACAGACATTCCAGCTACAGCAAGTAGTTCTCCACTGTTAGCCCATTCCATTTTCACGCCTGAAAAGTTTAAACAATAATTGTATTTGAATAAAAATTATGAAGTAAAATAAATAAATATAAAACTTTTGAGTGTTAAGCTTCATCAGAACAAATATTATACTATAATCAATTTATCTTAAAAGATTTAGATTAATATATATTCTGTATCCAGGTAAATTATAATTTTTAACATTAAAATTCTAGTTAAATGTGAAAATTTACAATTAACATGGAGAAATAAGAAAAAATTTCTTATATGGATTGACTGAATTTCTTGAATGAAAATGTGTAATTCTTATCAAACGTGTCTTGCACATAAAAAAATTATACAACAGGTGAAGAGGCTTTTTTTTTTATAATACAACTGCAAACAGTTTGGAATGCCAGTAATATGACCTAGCAGAATAACACTAAATATATCAGAAACATTAGCAGATTATTTAACTCGCCAAAAATTCTTTTTTACAGATTTAACACATATCATGATCATAAAAATAATTTCCAATAAACATCCAAGTTTTGACTTTTACTATGTTAAATTTCACAAGAAAAAAAAAATTTTTTTTTTTCACAATCCTGTTATCATGTTTATTAGTTATACATAATTTTTTTGTTGTTGTTGAAAATAATTAGATTTTTACAAATGAAAATGTGAATACAGATTAGTTTTAGTTACTGCTTATTAAAAGATTGTATAAAAACAATCTAAAAAGAGTCTAGAGTATATAGAAAGTATCTAAAAATAGACAATAACTGAATTTAGACAAAAATAATTTAAGATGATGAATAGTTAGTAAAAAATTATAACTGAAAAAAAAAGAGAAAGAAATTAAAAACGTTTGTCATTATATATTGTATATAGTATATTTAACTGCAAAAATTATAACAAAGTAAACCTCTTATTATTAACACAAATTGAGGCTCTTCAAAAAAAAATTTTTTTGCATTCTTCAAACTAGAAATGATATTAATATTTTGAAGCAAACCAAAAATTTTTTTGATTAAACACATATATTCTTAACATTGTTTGGTCAAAACATCATCAAATAATATAAGGAGTACTAGAATTAAAGAGAGTTCTTCAAAGTTCTTATGCGAAGGAAAATAAAAAGGCCACAGTTTGAGTGCCTTGTCTTAAACTTAAATAGAAACTTTAATTTCATACTATACATACATATACTATAATGCGGAATTGTTCTGATTTTCAAATGGGCAAATAGCTTAAGCATTTTTTTTTTAAAAAAAATTAACCTTTTAAAAAATTACCAATTGGTGGGATTTTCTAGAAGAAAGTCCAGATTAAAAAAAAATCCAAGATAGATGATTCTCAATTTTTGTATATTTTCATGAGCTCAGATAATGTAGCATCTGAGTAACTTTTGAAATTTTGTAAAAATCAGAAAACAAATACTTATCTTATTTACAAAAACTGTTTAAAGCTTTTCCTTATATTTTCTACATTTTCAAAATTTGCACCAAGTGAGCATGCTAAATGTGAGTAAAACAACTTAACAATAATGGATAACTGTTACAAACTGAACACAGTTATAAAAATAGCATATTGTTCTTTAGAAAAGGATTTTTTTGAATGACAAAAGTGCCTTTTTTAAGAATAGTTTAATACGCATTTGCAAAACTAGATGATCTTAATTTTAAATTTTTTTTTTATTTGGCCAAAATTGATAAAACAAAAATAATGAATACAAGTCATACGCTGTTCTATTTTGCTTGTTATGTGATATTAGTTAGATATTTAAAAAAAGAACAGTAAAAAATGATTTACAAAAAATCAATAACAGAAAAATAAAAAAGAACTATCTCATACAAATAAAGCTTTTAATAATGTTCAGTATAAAATATTTACCTTTAAGGTTTGTTTCAATAACAGTTGGTAGCAAATCATCATAGCTTCTCATTAAATTAATAGTACCATTTGTAAAACAAACAGCTAAGACAGAGGGTTTATCAACTAAAATGATAAAAAGTAGTAATTATACAACCAAAATATTTTATCAGATATTATATCATTACATAAGTTAACAAAATTACATATATTAATGTAAAAAAAGCTATCCACTTACGCATTATTCCAATTCTCAATTATACATTATTCTATTATCACCAATGCAATTAATTCAATATAACAACTTTCTAATAGGAAAACCATTTAATTCATACAATGCAGTAAAATTGGCTTTCTAGGAATTAAGTGATTCACATCGACCAGGAATATTATACTACCAAGATAAACAACTAGCCATTTAAATGGCAAAAGTGTGTAGAGGACATAGGTGCCCTAGCAACAATTTTACCTTGGGCACAGTTGAGCACAAAATTGGATCAATATAGGTCCCATATGAATATGCACTGAGGAACCAGTATTGGGATAGCTAGATTTTTTAATATTGGTCCTATATAAGGGCAATGTCAGCCTACATTGGCTGAATAATGAATATAAAATATCCGAAGAATCTGACTACTCTATATAGGGCCGATATTGGTTGCAGAGTGGCTGTAAAATATAGGGTGAATCGGACAATACTATATAGGGCCTATATTAGAAAACAACGGCACAATGAAGGGTAGTGAGACAAGATTCGTGAATATTGGTTCAACGAGGGCGAAAGTCATTTTAATGTTTGGGTGGATACTTGATGAATAAAATAATTCCTTATATTTGTAAGTTATGAACCATGTCTTTTTTTTTTCTCTACAAGTTTCGTTCATGATAACCTAATACAAAAAGCAATTTTTAGTAATTTTTTATGTTTTTAAATTAGAATGTTGTTAACAATGAAAATGGTTACTAAAACTTGTTTATGAAAACTTTTAAAGCATACACATAAAAAATTTTTATAAGTGATTTTTGATATAATAATGAATGTTTCCAGTGCTCGCAACCCCATGAAGATAAAAATCTCTTTTAGGTTTACAACAATATTAATACGGCCAAAGAAAATAATACCGAATCTATTCTAGCTAAGACACACAAGATAATATTAGACCTACTTGTTGGAGAACTATTTTTCTCATCAGATTTATTTGAATATGCAAAGCTATGACGGTCATCTTCATAAGATTCGTCCATTTTAAATTTTTCACAGGACCATGCCATTGAAGCTATTGGAGATTCAGATTGTAGATTAACTTCAGCGACAATGGTTCCATGCACATCAATAATAATTATTTGGCCACCAGATGTACCAAACATGACCTGCAAATTTATTTCAGTAAAAGATGTCAGAAATAGATTCAGCAAATTATCTCATTAGTAGTAGATTTATAATCCAATAATCATATAAACTAGATACAAAATACTAGAAGTTAAATTCCTAAATTAATTTAAGGTTTACAACTTAAGTTTGCTTTATTGCTCCCTAATATATAATTAAATCAAATTTTGTTTTATTTTAGACAATTTTTTATGAAAAATGCCTTTTTGGTTACATGGATTTTATACAGTCTGAAAACTATAATTTCCTGAAAATAAAACTTTACAGGTATAACAACAAACAAAATATTTCCACCTCAATAATCAAAAGTAATAATTTTGCACTATTTTTTAAAAAAAATAAAATTGTTGAGTTTTATAGAAAAAGAAAGCTGTCGTATAAAATAATGAAAAGGAAATTTTAAGTAAAAAATCACTTCTTCTCAAAACTATAATTTCTGTTTTATAATTATTGTTAATTATATATTATGATACATTAATATATTTTTAAGTCAACTATTGAAGTTTTAATCAACTATTGAAATGACTAAATATATTGATTCCATTTTTTTTTGTCAAATGTTATACATTTTTAATTTATAGCAAAGCATGATAATTTAGATCCAAATTTTATTTCTCATGTAAATTTAAGTAGAAGCACACAAAGATAATTAAAAATATTATTTCATAGCTTTAGTATCAATAAACATTTTCTACCTTAATGTTTTATTTAAATAATAAGATAAAATAAATTTCTTTTCAGTAAATTGAAATGAAAGCTCAAATATTTACAATAACTTCATATTATACGCCAATGAAAAATCTTTCATCATATTGACAAAATTTGCTTCTAAAAATATAAATTATTTTATACTGTTGAATACAAAGAGTATATTTGAAACACTAAATTGCAACCTAATATTCTGTAAATTACTTTTTCAATTAAAGTTAATTGGCTTAGATTTATTTAAAAACTAGAAACTAAAAGAAAAAAAATATTCATTTGAAACAGAAAACAATAACGGAGTGTAGCCAGGCTTCGAACACTTATAAAAACCCTAACTCTTTCCAGTTAGATTTTATTGATTTTTGTAATTGAGGATATAAATTCAAAATTAATGTTTTTGTTATGTCTTATCCTCATTAACAAAATATGTTAGAAAATACTTATGCATGGAAGAGTTAAAAATAAATATTTTTTAAAATACTTATTACAAGACAAATTAAGAAAAAAAATTAGACATTTAAGTACCATAAACTCAAATCAATTCATTCCTCTTGACTTATTGATTTCCTTTTTTAAATAAACCCTTTGACATTTCCCCGTTTTTTCAGGTTGATATAATTCCCTGTTCTGTGGCTACCTTGAATTAAACAATAGGCTACTAAATTTAATGAAGTTAATAAGCTGCTGTGCATTGAACAATGTTTTTATTTTAAAAACCTGTATTCTTAAAGTATAGAAGTTTTGCTCACAGTTAGAGAAATAACTTATTAATCATTAGAGCATCATCCTCGCAGTTTCTGAAAGAAAGAATCTGACTCTTCCGCAACAAAAACCAAATTTCTTCCAAGTTATTCTACAGAAAGTAGCTCACAACAGGAAAAAGTTAGTATCATTTTGCTTCTACTTGAAAGAATCAGAGGTTTAAAGCAAAAATAAAATTGAATAGTTTAACATGGCAAATGCCAAATGAGAAGATTATACATAGTTATTATGCTTTGACTTAATTTTTGTTTATGCTGCCTTTATGCGTAAGCACCTAGAACTGGTCTATAAGCAAAAACTACATTATTTTCAAACACATAATTAATAGAAAAATATTTTTCTGAATTCTAATAACAAATAGGAAATTAGAATATAATATAATTACAATAGCATAAAGTAACTTTTATTTTCAATGAGTTAAAACATGCTATATTTTTTAAGGCATTGTGATTACTTTGGAAACAAATGTGTAATAACCTTACCATTTCAGTCGATTCTATGATTTGCGCCCATTTCCTTAAAAACAGTTAGTGACATAATGCATTAAATCCATGCTTTTCTTAAATTGAGTTCAGTCAAATAACACAGGCACAATTTCATTTAAATAGAATAACTTAAAACTGTAGCTTATAATTGGAATACGAATTAAAAACAAATATATATATTATATATATATATTAGACAGAGATAACCTATAACCCTCTTCAACACAGATTAAAACTTAATTACTAGTTTATAATTATAAAAAATAATACAAATTTAATTCACAGTTATTAATTTCAAATATGAAAGTGAATTTTAGATAATATAGGGTGCGTCAAATTATTCAACAAAAAATAGGCACCTTTTAAGCACTTGAAAAATATTTTTAAGCATTTAAAAAAATATCATTATTGGGCAGGGTTGGAAAGTTTTTGGCAATTAATGGTTTTATCTTGTTTTAACGGTCAAAAATTGGCATTGTTTTTGACATGAATACATGAAGTTTAGAATAATGTAAAACGAATGGCGTTTTCATAAGCTACAGACTGATAATACGGGGAAATAGATCGGGGATGAATTAATTATGAAAACGCTGACTAGAACAATGTGAACTGTGTCTTTTTGCATAATCCGAAGCAAAAATCTACATAGTAAAGGAAAAATCTCATTTTTTCAAAAGGGAAAATTAAGCACTCAATAAAACACCCAATGAAAAAATCACCTTTACAGGCTTTTAAAAACCAAAAATAAACACCTTCAAGCACTTCTTTAAAATGCTACAGCTTGTAATAGTATGATTAGTATGTTCTAATCATTAGATATTAGAATGAAAACAAACACTGCAGAATCCAATTTAAAACAAAATTAAATAAAATATATCAGTCAGACACAAATTATCTGTATTTGTAGAATCATCCAGAAATTAAAAACACAAAAATCTTTAATTTTTTTATTTATTTTAAGACTGAAAAATTTAAAAAGAGCCCTGGAGTATAAGAAAATTTAGAACTCCAGGGAAAACATAACTTCACAGTGTTCCTTCTCACCGTTTGTTGAATTTTGTCATTTGTTGAAAAAAATTGATGATGAATTACAAAATTTAATTTTTTGATACTGATCATGAAAAGAAAGATAAAGAAAAACCTAAAATTTTTAAGTCGATTGCAGAAAATTTAAAAAATTGATGATGAATTACAAAATTTTATTTTTTGATACTGATCATGAAAAGAAAGATAAAGAAAAACCTAAAATTTTTAAGTCGATTGCAAAAAATTTTAACAGTAGAATATTTTATTATTTCAGTAAGCAATAAAACATGAAATATTCATTACATTTTGATCATCAGGTGTCCATATTCCACAACTGATGCTATGGTCTAAGTTGAGCATCGAAGACCAGTATCTTTGACCGGACACTGAACCAACTAAAACAAATCCATCCCGATAGCAAATAAGAGCCATCCTGCCATCATGACTCCATGCAAAATCTGTGACTTGAATACTACGATCATTAATCAGTTCTATAGACCATCGACCTTCATATTTAATCCAAACAAATATAGTTCCAGTATTATCACATGATGCTAGTTTTTGATACGGCTCATTCCATTTCACCAGTACTATCTAGGAAAAGAAAGGAAAAAAAATATTTAGGAATATAATAAAGAAATTTTTTTAAAAAAAAAAAACATTATTTTTAATTATGTTCTTATATTTGCTTTATTCAGCATAATAAGTTTTGAAGTCCATTACAGAAAAGAGGTATCTTAAAGGGTGGAAAGGATAATTCCATGCAAAAAATAAATTTTATTAAATATTTATTTATTCAACAATAGTCGATAAAAAATTTGAACTGTAAGGTATACAACTTTTTACATCATTTTAAAGAATGTAATTTTACATGGGAAAATACAAAATTTGAGGTAAATTGGTCGAGTAGTTCCTGAGAAATTAAATTTTAAATAAATTAAGACACTTAAAATTTGATTTCCCAGAAACTATTCAACCGATTTTGCTTAAATTTTGTATTCTGCCATAAAAAATTCCATTCTTTAAAATGATGCTAAAATCTGCATATCTTACAATTCAAAATTTTTTTCAACAATTATTAAATAAAATAATAAAAAATAATAAATATTTACTAAAATTTACTCTTGGCATTGAATTATTTTTGGATAAACAAATTTTATTATTGAGTATAAAAAATGTTCATTTCGCCTAAAAAGTTCTTGAGATAGAGCGAAATACGCAAAGAGTAAAATTAACGTTAAAGGGTCCAAACTTTGAACCACTCTCCTGATCAAACATATTTCTCACATTGCGGCTACTCCTTATATTTTGAGGGTAAGAAATTCGAATCAGGCAAAAAAAATTATGTTTATTCAGAGAAAGTAAGTTTTTACGCCTGATTTTATAACTCAAAATATCATATGCATACTTGAGGTTACCTTTTTAGCCATTAAGATTAAGTTCCAGAACGTGAAAATCCGATGATCATAGCTCAAAAGATATTCAGGATGGTTCTCTTTTTTTTTGCTTGAGCGCAGTGTTACATAAATGAGAGAAACTTAAACTTTTTTATGAAGTTTCACACATACGAATAAATTATATAAAGGTATTTCAATTTATCAGTCTGAAACTTCATGCTCAAAAGTATATAAAAATAAAAGAAAGAAAACTGAGAAATTCAACTATGCTAACTAAACTCGAAATTAGCAGAAAGATCATAAAAAGTTGATTCAATTTTGAATAATATAAGTCAATTTTGTCCCTATAAATGATTTTAAAATCAATATGCAGAGTTTTATAACAGGTATAATCTTCTTTAACATAAAAAAAAAAAAATTAATAAAAAACTTTTTTAATTATGTGTTTGATTTTGAAATAAAATATATGTTTTGAAAATTGGGCAATTAAAAATTAAACATTTAGCTTTAAACAAAATTATAATTTTAATAAATATTTCATTGATAGAAAGATTTCTTAAAAAAAATTAGATAAAAAAGTTGTTTTTATGTACTTAATTTTGGAACAAAACATATGTTCTTAAAATTTATTTTATAAAAAATTTACCAAATTAATACTAGTATTCCACTCTGTTATATGTTACATGTCCATTTGTCTGAAAATTTGATAAAAAAGTTGTAATTAAGTGCAATTTTTAAACAAACTGTATGTTCTTAAAATTGTTAATTAAAATAAAAAATTCACCAAATAATTCACAATTTTTTTCTGCTGTAAAGAATTTGTTCACAAACTTGAACTTTTGCACTTATAAATATTAGTTTCCCACTATATTGTAACTGATAAAAATGTTATATAAATACTATGCCCACATCTCAGAAATTTCAATAAAATTTTTTTAATTATAAGTCTAATTTTGGGACAAAATTAAGAGATGTCTTTACCCTGGCCCTCTAGAACTTTACTTAAAATTTTTAATTTGTGTTTTCTTTTGTACTTAACAAATTTTTGATGATATAGCATTATTAGACAGCACAATACATTTTTTCTTAAAAAAAAGTAGAAAATAAAGGGGTTGCTTTAGTATATTAAGAGAAATAGTGCTTGATAATTTTAGAGCTTCTATGACATTTTCCTCAAAAATTTAAAGCAATAAATTGATGCAATTTAAGGTTTTCAGTAAGTAATTTAAAATTTTATTACAGTTCAAATTGATGAAAACCACCTAAGATGATGCTAAAAAATTTCTTTAAAACGTTAATTGCTTAAAAACAAAGACAACTATGAAAAATATGAAAACAGACAACTGTATACTATTTAACTACATATTAATAACTGTTGATTGCAGAATTGTATAAGCATAATTTTGTCAAACAAAAACTAATAAAGAATCTAAAATACCGTGCACTTTATATCACAAATTGTGATGATCTTATGCAGTGTTCCCCCTAAGCGTTTTTAGAAGGGCGAAAATATAAATTCCTACCTATAAGTTAGTCCTTTTTGCTTTTTTAGTAAAAATAAGCCATCATCCTTTAAAAACACTGCCTTTTTATTATGATCCATTAAAAAAAAATCAATTGACTGTGTAAATAATAATTACACACTGGTAAAATTATCTGTAATTTATAGGTTTAAATCATTCTGCTTACTACCTATTACAAATATTTATTTTGTTAGATTATTTTCAACTGGTTAAATTTTTATAAGTTTCTCTTTTTTCAGGGAGAAAGGTATATTAATAAATTTTTTAAGCGATATACTTTTTTCTTAAAGCACCTTTAAATGTTTATTTTCTCATAATTTTCCGTTTAAACTATGGAAAAAATCTTTCAAGTTGTTTATCAATGAATCCTTTTCTTCTAGTTTACTTTTTTGAAAAATGAGATAGTCTTTTAGTATGCCTGTAATTATTTTTCATAAACCCCGAATTTTTCACTTATTTAGATTATGAGTGAGAAATACTTTTTGAAATATAGACATAAAATAGTATAATAGGGTAATTTAAAAATTGCTGAGGATTAGATTCAGTTCATACATATTATTACACATTTTGATAAATTTATACGCTGTAAATAAGTGCATTTTCAAAACTCAAACAGACTCTTTTCTGCGAGGAAACACCTTGTTCTTTTTTATTCCTAGGGTAAACTCTGTGTTATGTTTCACATGTATCGAAAGATACTACCAAATATAGTAAATATTCATCATCAGTTTATTTGTGAAAATTATATAAAGAGGATTAAAATCATATTTTGTATTTTTCCACCCGCCTATACCTCTTTGACAGTTGAGTCCAATCGGAAGCGAAAGTTTTCACATTATTATAACTGGAATAAATGCTTCCTTGATTGATAGAAGCAAATGGATATTATGTATACTTTTCTAAAAAATTGATAGATAACTTCTAATTATGAATTTAATTTTGGAATAAAATGCATGTTTTTAAAATAGCTGTTCATTAAATTTGAACTAAACTATTAGTCCCTTAATGGTAATTATTTAATATTTTTAATGTTGCAACTCCGTATATAAATTATCAAGTTTGTTTCGTTTACTAGATACTACACATATTATTCATAAAGTCAATTTTATATATGAAGCAAAGCAAACAACGATAATTATGAAACATGTTATTAAAAATGTTGTTAATAAAAATTAAACCACACTATTGGCTTTTTAAAACTATTATAATTGGAATCAATGTTAAGATTGTTTTATTAACAAACTTATATATTGTTTACGAATTCAATTACATTTAAGAAAAATGATGATCAATGATTACTAATATATTTAATTATTGAAGAGTAAAGTCTGTAGTTGAATGATGATAGTTCAACTAAGGAACAATTAATAAACCTTTTTAATGGTAATTATTTAAAGCAATTTCAATAAATTAACATCTTTTATGATATCTATTTATATTAATGATACTATCTCAGTTGTTTTTATAATTAAATTATCAAGTTGTTTCATCTACATGTTCATACACATATATTTTTTAAAAATTCAATTATATTTAAGGCAAACAAATATTTCTCAAATTTTTAATCCACACAGAGTAAAATTTGGTTAGAGTGTAGATTAGTGCTCCTTAGATTTGAATTGTGCATGGTAACTCAGAGCTTATATTATAAATAAAATCTTCCTCTTTCCTATTATTTTTATTACACTTTCTTATAAGGTCACCTTATTGTAAACGTTTACACAAAATTTATAGCTTAATCAAGCAAGTTCAACTTAAGAAACAATTATATAACATCTTTTATAAAAGCTACTTAATGGAGTTGATAATTAATAACACAATTTCACTTGTTTAATTCGTAAATTATCAAGTTTTGTTTACAATTCATATACAAATAAAATAGTGGGCAAATTTATTTATATAACAATAAATTTTTAATTAGTTTATCAGTGCAGTGTAATGTTTTTATACATAAAAAGTGCTAAATACTTACTTCAGCTCGATGTCCCCTAAGATTGTAATTAGATCTGAGGGGTAAATCAGCTATTTTTCGATTGTGACAAGAAGTAAATGTCACTCCAACGATGCTTCTTGCGTTTCCTGTGGCCAGCCAGCCGTCTTGATAGTAGTGTACACGATTTAATTTCCAGCCATCCTCGTCCGGCAGATCGTCCGGTACTTTGCCCATCCATGTTAAACTTAAAATAGCACAATCTGTCCTAGTGGAATTAGTCCTTTCAAAATGCAGATGCATAGTTTTCAATGCACCCAAATTTTATCCACTATCTCCTCAAGTGTTTCATTCATATTTTCTACGAAAATATTCCAAAAGAACACGTCTCTTTGATCAGAATCGTCAATAAATAGTCCTTCTTTTAATTGACAGTTCGCTTTGTTTTATAAAACATTTTTCAGTTTTTACATAACTTTAAAATTGCACGTGAAATTTTTATTTTCAAAAAAATATATTCACGGTTTAAATGGCAAATGAAATAAAATATGTCACAAAAATATTTTCAGTTTCAATTTTTGATTAATTTTTTTTTATCGTCTGAAAAAAAAAAGACTTGAAACATTGAAAAGCGAACTGTCTTCTATATTGATCGATTTTAATGATCATCATAGGTTGAGGAGGGTCAACCAGCACTAGAACATAACCTTTTCGGAATAGAACACTTCAATATTATCCTCATATTTGAGTTAAACTACGCATGAATTAGGAAAATCTTAGTTTAAATTAGAAGTTTCGGAGAAATTAATAAGTTATGTTACACCAGAAATTACTTGCTCCCGCCGGTGCTCTCCGAGAACAGCGCAATCCCACCTGCCATGATGAGTGCTGCGCGCGGAGGGTGCTGTAGGGGTTGCCAGGCCACTCCTTGATCGCCAAAATATAGGCTCTGCGCATTCGCTAGTTTCGGTTTTGTTTTTCACTGCTATTTGCTTTATTCTTTTTTAATCCTTCACGCAGTTGAGAAAGAAAGCTTCATTCTCAATGGCAGTACCAAACTTAAATACGTATTACGTTGTATCAACATCAGTTGTTAGGTGTTAATTTTTTATTTCTTAGGAAGAAAAAGCATTGTTGAATAAATTATTGAATTGTGAATTCCAAAAAAAGGATTATCGAATTTTCTTTTCCGGAATTCTTTATTTGTTAGGAGGCAGCTCAAAAATTTGACGTTTTCTCCGAAATTCACTATTCAAAAATGTAACAACGTTTTTTTTCTTCTGGAATTCACAGTTTAATAATTAATTAGCTAATGTTCTTTCTTTCCAATAAATAAAGAATTTCAGAAAAAAAATTAAATAATGCAACAATTTTCCTTTTTTTTTGGAATTTACAATTTAATAATTCATTTATTTATGTTTTTTCTTTCTAACAAAAAAGGAATTCCAAGAAAAAAATGCGAATGGAAAAATTATTGAGTTGTAAATTCCAGAAAGAAAAGTTAAATCACTAAACTGTCAAATTGTGAATTTCATTAAAATTATTAAACTGTGAATTTCAGAAGATATCAAAATTTTAATCAATAATTTTTTCTATTAAGAGTCAGTTTGAACGGTTGTTATTGTATGTAAAAATGATCTCTCTCTCTCTCTCTCTCTCTGTATATATATATATACATATATAA